GGAATCCTTAATCATAGGTGATGATAATACAGTCATGGTCATGCGCAGATAGTGTCCATAAAATTCAGGAGCGCTCCTCGGCTGCTACTTCTCATTGCATAACATAAATGACGTAAGGTAAATACACAATTGAACTCATACAGAAAAATCGTTACCTAACATAGAACATAGAACGCCTCGTTCCTCCACTATCGAACATTTGTTAGATACGGGCCATTCTGTAGACCCTAAAACTTTCTTCCGAGTACTTGTTCGAGCACGAACAACTCGTACCTTGCGCTACCTGGAGGCAGCCTGTATACCGCGGTCAAAACTAGACATATGTAAACAGTTGGAGCATGTGGTTAACCTTGCTTTGCCTTGGTAAAATCCGGCTCCCGGATTTACACAGTCCCCTTCTTAATTTTTTTTTGCATTAAACGTTTTTCCCCATTTTTGCTGCCCCTTGTGTTTTAACTTTCCTACGTTATTGATTTGCCTCGTGGCTACATCTTATGACCTTGCAGTTTTGTATCAATTTTTCTGTATGAGTTCAATTTTGTATGTATCTTACGTCATTCATGTTATGCAATGAGAGGTAGCAGCTGATGAGCGCTCCTGAAATTTATGGATCCAATAAATCCTGCTGTTCTTGCAATTAACACATTTGCACCTGGGAAACTCCGCTTTTTAACACTCATCTTGAGAAACAGTTCATTTACTGGCTGCAGGCGACCGAGGATCCACGCTCTGGGAGCAAGACTCAACGACGGATATAGGCACACAGACACACAGGCACTGACAACTCGTTAACTGAGCGGAAGCTCGTCAATTGAAACGAATTTTCTGCGAGTGACTCGCTCGTTACCTGAAGTGCTCCTAGATGGAGCTGCTCGTCACTCCAGGTTCCACTGTATACTAGAACTGTTTTCGCAGCATTCGTGATAACTCACACTTACCTGAATGAGCGTACGTGGCGTTATGACTCTGAGCTGATAATTATCGCCTGCGTGCGGTTGGCCGCTACGAACTATAAATATTGCACAATCTGTGCATATATCACCCTAGTCTGTGTCTTGTTTCACACTTTTCTGCAGTTACCTCTGATGAAGGGTTCTCGACAGAATCCGAAACATTAGGCAAATAAACTTCTTGTTCCAGCGATTGCATCTTCTCCTTCTGAACATACTGAGGTGTAAGCCAAAGTGTGTGGCCCGGAGGTGTCACTTCAGAGTATCACAAAACCCGGTTAAGTGAATCCCAGTTTCGGAAGTATCCAGCTGCAAGTGCATGCGAGTATATTAATTAAAGGCTCATAATGTAAACATAGTTCAAGTTTAATTTGTCATTAACTCAATATATCCCTAGGGCTACAGCATTTTCCGAGAGTGGTTTTAAGCGTTTAAAAGACCAAAAATGTAAACACTGGCTTTTAGCTGTGACTGCTGTCAGATCTATTAAGTCAGCCGCTACATAAGACCGGTCGAAATCACGAAGTCCATTGTGATAGGCGGAAGGATTCCTACCGCCGACACTCGGTAGAAAGTAAGCAGATGTTAAAGTCCAGTGCTCCCCATTAGTCAATTGTACTAGTAAAGTTGGTTAGTTTATGTCTAGGATGCTCACATTCCGACGACGAGTCATCTCACAAAAAGCACGTGCACGCCTTTCTCACGTTGCGTGCTATCAACGTGCGCCCGACAGCACCTGACACGGGCTGCGGCCGCAATACCCCCGCCAGATCTGATTGGTCCATGTCTGTAAAAAGTGCCTCGGCTGTTCCTCACGAAGCGGATTGGACAGGAAATAGCCAATCTAAACGGAATGCCATAAATACATACAGTTTTCCTGTGCGAATGATGTGCAGGTTTTCAGTACATTTTCTCGCGTGCGATCGTGTTCTGTTTCTCTGCCGTGTTGACGTTTGAGACAAAAATCGAGCAAGCATATGCTTCGTGTGATTTCTGAGCACCAGGCGGGGTCATAATAGAGAGCCTGAAATGCAGTCTTGCATGTTCCTTGCAGCGGGAAGAGTTGGTGGACCAGGTTACGCTCGAGCTGTATACAGCGATTCCTCTATCTTCCCAGTTTTCAGGCAATTGAGCCAATGGT